CTGCAACGAAGGAAACGGTCAGGCTCCAAACATGTGCTTTTAGCTTCATTTCTAGGAATATAATACACTGAATAGATACTCATTTCCATGTGGGTATGAAAGATCGAGAACACATTTTTCTTCGATTTTCATAGCGTCACAACAGATCGGAAAAATGTAGTTGCCATTGTTCTTTGGCATTCACTTCACAGGAAGAAAAAAATGAAAGCCTCATGAAATTTTCGGCGAATTCTTTTTGGAATGTTTTCACTTTGGGATTCATTTTCATGCAAGATATTTGCCGTGATCTTTTTATTATTTTGTAGCTTTAGGTTAGGTTATGATGTGACAGACAAGATTTCACTTTACTTTCGCGAGGAAGGAAAAGAGACAAGCAATTAGCAGTGCAGATGTACAAAATAATATTTATAAAACATGTGAATAACGTCAAAGTTCATCTGACAGACCTGTAAATGTCAACAATCATTTCCTTCCGCGCGATTTACTCCACAACCATCCCTAGACGTAAAACTTGAAGCCCTTCAGAGAAGCTCGGGCCCACCGGGTGACGCACACCGAGCAGGTGCGGAACGCCCTTCGAAGGAAGCGTTTCACATCCTACTTTTATAGCAAATGTAAATAATCGGCTTTATCGTTACCTTTTTGTACAATTTTCATGATCATAGTCACCATACTGCCTGTTATCAACATTATTGTCATCCATTCCATTCCCTTTCTCTTCCTTGGGGTCCCTCTCCCCATACCCTTTCCTTTCCTCTCTCACCCTTTCACTTGCTCTTACTCCTTTCTTTCCCTTTCCTCTTCTTTTCTCCCTTTCCCTGTCCCTTCTTCCCACTATTCTCTGGTTCCTTGTCTCTCTTTTCCCTTCTCCTTTTCTGCCACCTTACTCCTTTCCCCTTCTTTCCTTCCCCAAGAGTGACAATACAGAGAAGTCTGTCATCCCTGAGCAGAGGCAGAGGCCGCATTTGTTGTGATGCTCTTTTTCCTTCTCCTTTTCTGCCCCCCCCCCCCCCTCTTCCTCTTTTCCCCCTCATTCCTTCCCTCCTTCCCCTACCCTCTCTCTCAAGCTCTTAAAAGGGATTAAGCAACCCAACAGAGCGGTCCGTCATCCCTGAGCAGAGGCCTGTTTGTTGTGATGCTCCGGCTGCGCGGGGCTCGCGCGCATCGCGGCCTCTATTAGCCTGTACTAATTCAGGGTCGAAGCGTGTACCGAGATTTTGTATTCTTATGCCACTGTTATTTATATTCATTCAGTATGTTCACGTTCATTTCCTTTTCACTACTGGGAAGCGGGAAATATTCAAGTTTTTTGGTTAAGCTTCATTTCAGACCTTGAACAAGTGCTACCCCATGCCTTTGTAACATGTGGAAGGCGGCATAGTGAGTGAATGTGAGTGAATAAGTGAATGAATGAATGAATGGATGAGTAAATGAGTGAGTGAGTGAATGAATAGTATTGAGTGAGTGTGAATGTAAGTGAATGAAGGACTGAATGAGTAAATGAGTGAGTCAACGAATGAGTGGGTGAATGAGTGGGTGAGTGAGTGGGGTGTGGGGGTTGGGTGAGTGAGTGAGTGAGTGAGTGAGTGAGTGAGTGTGTGTGTGTGTGTGTGTGTGTGTGTGCGGTTGTGTGTGTGTGTGCGGTTGTGTGTGTGTGTGCGGTTGTGTGTGTGTGTGTGTGTGTGTGTGTGTGTGTGTGTGTGTGTGTGTGTGTGTGTGTGTGTGTGTGTGTGTGTGTGTGTGTGTGTGTGTGTGTGTGGGTGTGTGTGTGTGGGTGTGTGTGTGTGCGGTGTGTGTGTGTGTGTGTGTGTGTGTGTGTGTGTGTGTGTGTGTGTGTGTGTGTGTGTGTGTGTGTGTGTGTGTGTGTGTGTGTGTGTGTGTGTGTGCGTGTGTGTGTGTGTGTGTGTGTGTGTGTGTGTGTGTGTGTGTGTGTGTGTGTGTGTGTGTGTGTGTGCGTGTGTGTGAGTGTGCGTGTGTGTATGCGTGCGCGTGTGTGTATGCGTGCGCGTGTGTGTATGCGTGCGCGTGTGTGTATGCGTGTGTGTGTATGCGTGTGTGTGTGTGTATGCGTGTGTGTGTGTGTGTGTGTGTGTGTGTGCGTGTGCGTGTGCGTGTGCGTGTGCGTGTGCGTGCGTGTTTTGTACATAGTTGTACTTAAACAAGTCTTGCACGAACGTGTCCGTCCGCGTGAGATATCTGATTGCGAAAATGCGCGTAGACACAGCTCAACGTGTGTTTGTGGCAGTGCTTGCTTTCGCGGATGATCAGACATGCATGTGGCAATACTAAAGACCGTGTCCGGTGCCCCCCCCCCCCCCCGCCTCCCCATGAAGCCGGCTCGCCATAGCCCGCAAACTTCCGGCCGCCGAGGTCCCGTTACCGCGCGAGGGACCGCTGCAGCCAGTTGGGAAAGTTATTTGTGGCAAATAAACAGTTCGCAAGCAGAGAAACTTTGAAAAAGAGATACAAGGAAAGATACAGGGGTTAATTATCGACGAATTTCACTTAGTTAGTATAATTCTGGGCGTTTAACTTGAGTTTCTTCCTTGGTGTGTGTTTTATTTGCACTTTGACGAACAGCTGTAACAACAAACTGCTTAAAGAGACATTCCACGCCACAGCTTTATGGATGGCGAGCTTCATGAACTGCCGAGTACAGCGCAATGCAATTATGAGATGGATTTGCTGATAAGAGGAATGTCAAAGAAGTTGTGTCACTGCAACAGGGGGTTGCAAAAGTGACACCCAAAGCCTGACAGATAAACACATTCTTGACGTTTTCATCAGCTTCCATTAATGAAGAACATTTTGAAACAGAGATCTGATTTAATATAAATAATAAAGAGAAAGTGAAATCTTTTTAATCTCCTTGTAGGTGCTAGTGGTATAATCTCGAATAAGCCCGTGTTCGCGATAACCCAACAGCAAATATGTTGTGAGGGTGGCCTTCACTGGGGGCACAGTGGAGATGGACCTCGGAGTGAAACAGGTGGCCGCGCCCGGTTCTCACGCTCTCCAGATCCCATCCACCAGCGGGACGGGAAAGCATATATACAAACTCAAGAACACTAACTGTGTGTTTGAGTCGTCTGTCCTAACCTTTCATGAGTCTGGGCTGCGTCAAGTGTCACGAGAAACGTTTCGTGCCGGCTTCGTTTACGTTACTCCCACTTAGGATTTTAACATTAAACAACCGCCCTCCTAAAAATGTTGTAGGACCACCATATGAGAAATTTGTGAACAGGCTTTCAGTCACGGGCAGCAGGATGTTTATAATAAAATAAGCCTTTACAAAACTGGGGATACTAGACCACACCTCCCTTGAAAAGTTTTAAATCAATGCGCTCATAGACCTCTAATTCGTTTCCTTTTGTTTCGTTTTTTGCTCTTCTTTCTTTGTCGTCATGCACTACACGTCATAGCATGAACTCATTTTCACTTAGGTAAAAATTGACCCTTCATTAGACAATAAAAAAATATCAGTATGTCATACTCAGTCCCTTTTACCAGCCTTCGCTCTCCAAGAGTGTTAAAAAATAGCACCTTAATTTGCCCCTTTGTCTGGACAAAGAATGGGAAGAAAGGGTCAAAAAGCGAAGCAGAGTCGCAGCCGCATTCATAACGCAATTCTCAAAGGGCTTTGTTTTGACAGCGAGGGGCCAGTGGTATTTGTTTAATTCAGTTGCCCCGCCAAAGCGCGAGACAAAGGGGGTGAGGGGATAGAAATCGAGCTCCGAGCGGCGGCGGTTTGAGTGTACTCTATTATCCTACACGTTGAAAGAGAAAAAAGAACCCCAAGAATGCAAGCTGTTCAAATGGGATGAACGAGGAAGGGTTTAAAAAAGGACATCTCTCATAACCGACAAAGATATCGGGAATTCTGAAGTTATTCCCGTGATATGCCCTTGCTCCGCCGCACACCAGCTAGCTCAGCGGGTTCGGCCGGGCGGGGATGAGGAGCGGCCGGTGAGATTCATTATCTCGAAATTATCCCAGGCAGCTTATCAATGTCATACATAGGTAATCAAATAAGATTAATTGAGCCGCGGATGCTGCAGGTATCATTAGAGTCGGGTTCCAGCTCATAAAGAGAAATAAAAGATACCGCATTCATTCATCTATTGACTCACGGCTCATTATCATCCGATGAAAAGCACTTCTGCTCTCTCTCTCTCTCTCTCTCTCTCTCTCTCTCTCTCTCTCTCTCTCTCTCTCTCTCTCTCTCTCTCTCTCTCTCTCTCTCTCTCTCACTCACACACACACACACACTAACTACCTTTCACTCACTCACTCTCTCACTCACTCAATCAATCTCTTTCTCTCTCTCTCTCTCTCTCTCTCTCTCTCTCTCTCTCTCTCTCTCTCTCTCTCTCTCTCTCTCTCTCTCTCTCTCTCTCTCACACACACACACACACACACACACACACACTAACTACCTTTCACTCACTCACTCTCTCACTCACTCACTCACTCAATCAATCAATCTCTCTCTCTCTCTCTCTCTCTCTCTCTCTCTCTCTCTCTCTCTCTCTCTCTCTCTCTCTCTCTCTCTCTACCTCTCACTCTCTCACTCTCTCACCCAATCTCACTCAATCACACACACACACACACACACACACACACACACACACACACACACACACACACACACACACACACACACACACACACACACACACACACACACGCACGCACACAAACACACACTCACAAACAAACACTCACTCTCTCACCCACTCTTTCTTTCTCTCTCTCTCTCTCTTTCTTTCTCTCTCTCTCTCTCTCTCTCTCTCTCTCTCTCTCTCTCTCTCTCTCTCTCTCTCTCTCTCTCTCTCTCTCTCTCTCTCTCTCTCTCTCTCTCTCTCTCTCACCCAATCTCACTCAATCAACACACACACTCACAAACGCACACACACTCACAAATACACACACTCACAAATACACACACTCACAAATACACACACTCACAAATACACACACTCACAAATACACACACTCAC